TTTATTTTCCTTGTATCTCAAGTTCTTTTTTCCTCAAATGAAAGAACTCCCTTTTATAGTGTACAATTTAAACCCCCACACTAATAAAAATTAATCAACTCATAACCTCCATTCAAATATTCAAATGTATGTTATATTATAAATTAAAATTTTAATTAAACCTAAAACTTAAAATATAATATAATAATTTTGAAACTTGAAAATTAATATAATTTCCAACAATCCCCCACAAGTTTTAAGTTTTCAAAATAATTAAAATATATAATAGTTGCAACATAATACTGTGCAATTGGTGTAAGTGTTTTTTGAATTTGAACCTCACTTAGTGATAACAATTTCCATTTGAGGGAGTCATAATGGACTAAATCTTGAAGTAGGTCCATTTGACCAAACTTTAATTGTTCCACATGCAGTATCGATTTAGGCTCTACTTCATAGCCACGGCCTCATGACAACTCTTATATAGGTGGGTCCTTCAAGGGTGTTTGTGACCCACACCTCATGAGAATTCTCGTATCGATACTCATTCAGAGTTAAACCCTTTCTAACATCGCATTATTATTAGTATTATCACCATAGGGATGAGCACAAATGATATGGTGCTACTACGAGTCACGCAACACGAGTTGTTTCTACCACATCAAACCTTTTTCATGGGATCTCCAATCACGAAGGTTGGGTTACTCCCAGAGGCGACTCCCTTATAGGCTTAAGCCCATCCCCTCGATGATTATAATTTATTTCATGTCCCTCTTGTACAATAATTTTGATATCATCAATTTGCAAATGTTATTCTCCTCATGCATATTCGCAATCTGTAAAGTCACATAAGATTTTTTTTTTCAAAATGTCAATATCGCATATATAATCATAATAAGATAATTTTATGACATTTCTGATATTGACTTCTAGTAACATGTTTAGGGAAATGCGGCCATTGAGCTTTTGCATTTCACATCCGTATTCTGAAGATATCCATTGTGTGGAGCTTCTTCAAAAAATTTCCATGTCTACAAATACTTCTAAACACTTTCACAAAGTATTAGCATCATGATAAATAAAAATAACTTAAATAGATTTAAATAAAAGTGTGACATTTCGATATTCATCCAACTTCTCTTCGAACATTAACCAAATAAAAGAGAACTCTATTAAATAATTTAATACCCCACATTTCAAGAATATCTAGCTTGAATAGAATGGGTATACAATCTTACAATTTATTTATTTTGATATAATCCAACATTGTGTGGACATGGTTAATGCACACGTTTTCCACACTTTCATGATTTTCATCCACCAATGAATCCACAAATTCTTATTAAACACATGAGCAAAATATTATTTTCATAACAATAAATTATAAACAAATAATTGATTATATTTAGAATGCCTACCGAAGTATGAGTACCACTAATTACGACTGAGATTAAAACAATATGGCAAATTAAATTCACATTCTCATGACATTTTGCCTCCTAGATTTAAGACGTTTGCACTATGTTTTGGATGAAAAGAAACATTTAGACCATTAAAATATAGATTACAATATAAATTATGAGTTTTTAAATATGTATTAAAAGATAATTAAAATAGAAAACTGAAATTAAAATTGGTTTATGTTACAATATTTAGGACAATAACTCATCTATGATTTTCAATAAGTTTCCTTATTCCTTCAAAATTTTATAATAATCACATACTAAAGAAAATGACTATCATCGAGTGTTTCTTTTCAAAAAAAAAAAAAAAAAAAGTAAAACCTTAAACAATTTATCTACTTGTACAAAGTAGGTTAACAAAGTTTGTCGACAAAATCAATGTTGGCAAGATCTAGGCCGTTAATCCGTTTTGGAATTCAAAAACTGTTTTTGAAATGAGTGATAAAGATATTGCCAACTCATACTTTATTAACCAATTTTGTCATCCTCCTTTGTAGGTGTAGCATTACTCAACCTTAAAAGTCCACACCTAATGCTTTAGGGCAATTAAGTGGAATATGCTGAGACAGCATTAACTATTCTTATAACTTCAAGTACCCATACATTACCCTTACAACCAAAGTAAAATATATGCCAATTTTGACACTTAAGTACGTGTGCGTGGGGAATCACATTTTAGTATATTTCTTCATTAGGAATTTTTGAGAACGAGTTAAATTTATCCCTTTGCATTTTACACCATATATAATCACCAGTACCCCTCTATTTATTCATCAATAAAATGATTTGCATAGTGTCATTTTAAAACAAACTATAATGAGGAGATCTACTCTACACAAAACATTGAATTGTTTCACGTGAAACCGGAGAGTGAAATCATCCCTCCACATTTTAAAAACACACTCTCCACCACCCAATATTCTTTATGCTTATAACAATATAATTATTTCAATGTCAAAGCTAATAAAAGATATTTTACACAAGTGGAATAGTATAATGCTAAGGAAAATGACAAATTAAACAAAATTCAAATCACATGAATGTTGAAAAAAAAAAATCCTCTACTGATATACTCAACTTTCATTGATTTGCCTCAATTTTGAACTTCAATTGAAAATTTATCTCGCCTTTAAGAAAGATACAATCCACTAATCCAGAAGATAATTGCCTACACGTATGCCCATTAATTTGTGGAAAAGTTGTTCAAACAGGAAAAAGTCAGCAATTTACATTGGCACAAGTAGAAGTAAAACATAGCACAGTTTCATTGTTGCCAGCTAATGCTACTTTGGGAATTTTGCAATGTTACTGTTCAATATCATAAAACTAATAATTTACACACAAATCACGTAACAAGAATTGTCTACATGCAAATCACCAACACAACTTTAGATTGTTGGAAAAATTATGTGATTTGTATGTAGATTTATTTATAAATCAGCATAATCAATTAATAGACAAAAACATAATTCAACAATAATATAAAAAAAGAAAAGAGTTAGAAAGAAGCAAGTTGTGGGAGTCACGTCGACGACGCTGTCTTAAAGTCGTGTTGCCTCTCCTTCGTGGGATTTTTTCGACACTACATGACTCCAAAATAAAATTCATGTGACTCTCCTTCTATGGGTACAACCATAGGGAGATAAAGAACGAGCATCACATCAAGTTGCCACAAACTATAGAAATATAGTATAAAATATAGATGTAGTATTTTATTTTTCTTGTATCTCAAGTTCTCTTTTCCTCAAATGAAAGAACTCTCTTCTATAGTGTACAATTTAAACCCCACACTAATGAAAAGTAATCAACTCATAACCTCCATTCAAATATTCAAATGTATGTTATATTACAAATTAAGATTTTAATTCAACCTAACACTGAAAAATAAAATATAATAATTTTGAAACTTGAAACTTAATATAATTTCCAACAGATTCGTGGAGATGCTTTTTTTTTTTTTTTCCGGATAACTTAAGTGTTCAAGTTTCGCCTGACTAATCTTGAAGAGTGACGATCTTCCCCCTTGGTTCGCCATCCGGGTAAATCCGGATGCGGACATAGCTTATACACACTTAGACTGGACATTCGAGATGTGACTCTCCTCCCTGTGGACCTCCCTTGACGACGTGCGGACAAGACTCCCGAAGGGGCGACAAAACGCACCATAACTTTGCCTCCACAGGACAATTGCCTTCCAACATAAATGTTACCTTCCAGCTATCGTAGAGATTCAAACCTCCGATGCTCCGTGTGGAACCCTCCTGCTTTACCACTACACCATGCCCATGGGGTCAAGATGCTTCTTTCTTTTATATACTTGTTGCGTGCAAGCAGCATTTATCAAATCCGTGCATGTCAATTTAGCAAGTGTATCGATGTTTATCTTCAATGAATTATACCTAGGGTTGGCAACGGTTCGGTTATGGGTCGGTTCGGCCAAAACCATAACCGCACCACCAAATTTTTTACCATACCATAACCGCACCATAACCACGTAAATCGGTTCGGTTTGGTTCGGTTTTTATCTCGGTTCGGCACGGTTCGGTTAATAACCACGAAAATAAATTATTTTTTATAAGTTCATCCGTCAAATTGATATAAAACAATTTATGAAAAAAATCAATGAAAACAAAAACACAATATTCCAAACGAAAATGCAAACATTATCAAATAATATTCCAAACGTAAATGCAAACATTATCCTAATTTTCAATTGTAAAATACAAATTTAACAAACAATATTATAAATATAATAATACTAAACTTTTCCTTCATTCTTAATTATTGTGCATCAAATGTAACAAATTTTCGGAGGCGACGACGATTTGGACCGTAGAGGCAATGGAGCCGTGCGTGAGTTTGTGGCTGTGGAGAGTAGGGTTTGCATTTATATACTGTCATACTAATGCTATTATGGGCTAATGGTAAGTAGACTGGCCGAATGAGTCAGGTAGATGTAATGAGGAGGGGAGGGATTTTGTTTTGATTTGGATAGAAAAGTAGTGTAAAGCCCATTATCAATTCAAATTTTTTTTTTTTAGTGGGTAATCGGTTCGATTTCGGTTCGACGATGTAAATACCATACCCGCACCATTACGAATCGGTTCATTAAAATCAAAACCATATCCGCCCCATTGCACCATCGGTTCGATTTTTTTCGCCCCATTTGGTTCGGTTAACCGCGGTTTTCGATTTTGACGGTTCAAATTGCCATCTCTAATTATACCATCGTTGCTGAGTAGAAAGATTCAGATGAGTCGGCTTATGAAGTTCAGAGGGCACTAGGCCACTTGGGATAATTTGCTAAAACGAATTCAATGCTTCCAATAAAGAGAGGCACATACATATTTCCCAACTTTCAAATTCAACGTCGAATTAAAACCAGTTTTATTCTTTGAGTTTTGATCTCATCTCTCCCTTTCTATCTCGGTTACGTCAAGACGGTAAAAAATTGCAAGCATCCATTCATTCATCGCGATTATAAAAATGAGTCAATGGCCAGATGTTGGAGCATGCTGACACTAATTTCATAAGCACTTTGGTGAAATAACAAAACTATGAACTTGAAAATTCGCAACCAATGGAATCAGCAAAGCAACAAGAAAACGGATTGGAATTCAAGATAAGCATCTATGCAGCCAGGGTAAACCATGAACTGGCGATAATATACTCTTCAAAATTCTAGCTTACAATATCGCCAAAATCAAGCATCACATACGAGGAAAAATCAAAACTTGAATAGTTAACTAATGGGTAGCTACTAATTCTTAAACTATGGCATTGGCTGCGCTAGCAATCCTCGGCCATAGATCAGCACACTCTTTTCCAATTGGACCAGTAATAGCAGAACCTTTCATTTCACCCTTTGGGTTTACTATAACACCAGCATTATCTGCAAAAGCAAAAAGTTGAACAAATTAACATTAGATTACAAATGTATAATAAATAAGCAATATTATTAGGTTTTTTATTACAAAGATGCACAAGATCCACACTGTCCATTGATAATCCTAACACCATAACTGATTGCGCTTTTGATATAGAAAATAGACAACTAAAAAAGTTCACATTTAGGGTCCAAATGGAGCAGACGTGATTTTGAAGAAAATGATCACGTCTGTAACGATGGACACTTTTCAATGTCCCAGACAAGTAACTGTATCGACATCAAAATATGCAGATGGATACCTGACTTATGCCCGGTATGCGAGGAAAGTTGCAACTTCAGTTTCCCAACTTAATAAATCTAATTTGGGGAATAGGAGAAACTATATTACATATTGGGCCCATATGGAGCAGATGTGAGATCCACTGATACAAACACATCTGTAACGATAGACTCTTATCAATCTTCCGGACTTGTAACTGTATTTAACAATGGATGAAATGTCAATACATGACTAAGTCCGGTATCTTCATCTCTTATCAAAACCGCGGGAGAACTCTTGTCTGTAACGAAAGAACCTGTCTCAAGTATAAATTTTAAAATTTACCCTACAGGTCTAAATTCTAGGTTGTTACAAGGCAACCATTTCAAGAATGACTCAAAGATCCCTCCACAACTGATGAAAACCAACTTCTCTATGAAAGCATAAGAACTCAGGAGCACTTAAGAACGGAGGAAAATGAAAGATAAGACCACAAAAAGGCTGAAGAAAATATACCAACCTTGACAGGAATGAGAAAAAAAACAATTTGCCATCCGATATAGGGGTAGATTGGCATTTTAGATGTAGCTGGTCATGGGAGGTGCAGAGAAACCTAGGAATACTCCTCAGCACCACATTACCAGCAAATAAACAAGGAAATAACACATCATCCTGGCTAAACATCTCTCTGAATGTTAGATGAAATATACTGGTTAAACATTAAGAGCATATAACATGTTTGGTTTAGCTTAAATACTAAAAAAGAAACTAAAAATAAGTGCCAAAAGAAGCTACAATGAAGCCAGATTTTAGCATTTAAGCTAAGCCAGACATGCTCTTAAAGCATCAGAAATGTATCAACCTTGACAGAGTGAGGTCCAAGAAACAGAAAACTCACTAGGTATTATGATTGATAGCATTTTAATATCGCTGGACTAGAAGGTATAATATCATGTCTACATAATCCAAACTGTCTATGGAAGATGCAGAAATCAATATACCGCAGAACCAGCTGATATGGGACCGAGCTACTTGTACCCGGGCATGTAAGTTATACGCCCCTCACTTGGGGGGCGGGGCAGCGTGCATGGGCACCGCCCCCATGTGAGGGGCTTCCTGCTAATATTACCCTTCAATCACATCGTTAAGCATATTATTAAATTTCATCAGTTAGAAGTAATAACTAAAACCTTAACTATCAAAATCAAGCATAGCAAGCAAAGTCAATAATAAACTGGGAAAAAAAAAGAAACTTAGCAAACGTCTGTCTGATAACATCAGCTGAAATAAAATGGGGTGGGTGATAAATAGAAGCATTGAAAAAATGAATCAACCTTGACAGAGTGCCGTTCAAGAAAACAGTGAACTCACTCGATCTTGCGATTGATTGCATTTTATTATAGCTGGTCTAAGGAGGCATCACGTCATGTGTAATGTCTCTCGGAGATGCACACATCATGATGCCGCTTAACCAGCTATAATGTTTACTCTTCTACAAATGGTTCAGTGTGTGTGTGTGTGTGTGTTACAGATATCTTATTGAAGAAGAATGGAATAAATAAAAAACTACCCATCCAATTATATAATGAAGCGGCCAAAGAAGCTATGCAGCCACTAAACCCAAATGCAACTTGCAAATAACATGTAAAATAGGCAAGGACCCCTCAAATACACTCATAAACATGAATCCAATAAAAGGATAATAATCATTAAGATACAGACCTTCGAAATACATGAAAACACCATCCTTTCGGCGCCACGGCTTACGTTGCCTCACAATAACAGCAGGCATCACCTTCTTCCTCAAATCAGGCTTGCCCTTCTTCACGGTAGCCATCACCATATCACCGACACAAGCTGAAGGAAGACGGTTCAACCGGCCCTTTATCCCCTTTACTGAGATAATATAAAGATTTTTCGCACCCGTATTATCGGCGCAGTTCACCGTCGCCGCCACCGGTAGACCTAGCGACATTCGGAACTTGTTACCGGCCGATCCTCCCCGCCCTGTCAACACAATTTCATAACATATAAGCAAAATTACACGGAATCAAAGAATAGAAAATATAGTGTACTGGAGAAGCTGACCTCGCTTCGACATTATCGGAGTGCTGTAATTAGGGTTTCGTGGAGATGTAGAAACAACATATATAGGAAATGGCAAGCGGCTGGATTGGAATTAGGTTTCCTGACTTTAGCATATTAATTAATAAGGACTTGATCTTTTGGAGTAATACCATATGGGTACTTAATTTTATTTCATTTTTTTCCTTCACGTGTTAATAGATATAAAAACTTATTCTTAGAGGGTATTTGGTAGGGATTAAAATTAAATTTTTAATAGATTGTAATAGAAATTTTTGAAATATATGGTTAAAAAATTGTGGTACTCATGAAATATGTAGTTAATATTGATTGTTTGACTTTAATTTAGATTAAAATAAGATTTTAATCCGAACCAAACAGACTCTTAGATTGTTTAGTCCGATTCAGAAAAACACTTTTGGTAACAAATTCATGAATTCACCATTTCATATTTGCCATATGAACAAAACTATTGATTGGATAGTCATCTGAATAAGGTAGTTGATCGAGGTGCATCTTGACATTAAGGTTGATCAAGGGGTATCCAACATTTTGATGATCATTTTAACTTGATGAATTTGAGTTGGCTGGCACGTTGCCACATCATCCCCTCCCCATATGAAGTCTATAGTATTCGTGAATAAGGTGTTAATAATTCAAATGGTCACTAAACATTGCAAAAAGTTTTTCATACAGTTACTGAATTTTAAAAATCATTCAAGTCATTACTAAACTTTAAAAAAGGTTTACACGGAGTTACTAAACTTCAAAAATCACTTCATTCATTACTAAACTTGTCAAAAAATTTCAGTGATGAATGAGATAATTTTTAGAGTTCAATAATCCCATAGAAACCTTTTGCAAAGTTCTATGATGATTTGGATCGGTAACCCGATGAAAACCTTTTGCAAAGTTTAGTGTCCAATTGAATTATTAACTCCATGAATAAGTTTCAAAGAATATTGTCCGGGAACGATGCATGGCAAAAATGTCAATCCAAGTGGCTTGCCGCCATTGTCGCTGATCACTAATGGGCACTTAGGCGCGCCTGAGCATGCATTATTATATTTTTACAAAAAAAAAAATTACAATTCTTTTAAGTTAAAATTTAAAGATTGATTTTTTCACTTCGTTTGCTCTATGCTTAGAAAAGTTGCTTAAAACCTTGAACAAAGAAATTTTCTAAAATTTTCTATTTATTTATTATTTAGTATTTGCATATGAAACTTATCTTTTTGTTGGAAATTTTAAATTAATGTATAAAGTTACCATAAATCTGCTTCAGATGTTCGGTGGTAGGTATTATTTTTAATTATTAAAAGACTTTTGATGGATTAAAAATTTAAATAATATTAAAATAGTAAAAAGCCTTTTTATGCTTTTTTATGCTTATGTGTCGCTTAAACTCACCAAGCCCATAGTTTGACCTTCACGCATCGTCACGCATTACACCTTTTAAAGGGCTAACAAAATCTAACGTCTTAAATAAGTTTTTGAAGATAAAATCTCTATATTTATTTAAGTTTCATCTTTTGACATGAAGAAATTACTGTTTATTTGTTATTAAAGATCCTATAAATGTTAAAATATTCTCATGCCGTGCCAACATGAATTGAGATTTTATTTAGCAAAAAAGGAATTGGATTGAATGTCCGTGATCAATCCAACGAAGCTTTTGGATATGTGACATGAAGAAATTACAGTTCATTTGTTATTAAAGATCCTATAATTGTTAACATTTTCTCATGTCATGCTAACAAGAATTGATATTTTATTTATCAAAATATGAATTGGATTGAACGTTCGTGATCGATCCAACAAAACTTTTGGATATCTGACATGAAGAAATTACAATTCATTTGTTATTAACGATCCTATAATTGTTAAAATTTTCGAATGTTGTGCTAACATGAATTGAGATTTTATTTATCAAAATATGAATTGAACTGAATGTTCGTGATCGATCCAACAAAGCTTTTGGATATCTGATACGAAAAAATTGCAGTTCATTTGTTATGAAAGGTATTATAATTATTAAAATTTTCTCATGTTGTGCTAACATGGATTGAGAATTATTTATTAAAAGATGAGTTGGACTTAAGGTTCATGATCAATCCAACAAAGTTTTTGGAAATCGTAAAGAACGTTCAATTTCATTTTATGTCTTCAAAACGCAACTGTTAAATTTCAGTTTCAATCTTTATAATTTTGGGTTTTATTTCGACGTGTAATCTACATAAAATCTAACAATTTATTTTCGCCAATAGATGGAGTTGATATTCAACATGGGGTTGAGCTAACCCAAACCCTCCTGTAAGTAACTACACCATTTTGTTGATACTCTACCAAAGNTGGAGTTGATATTCAACATGGGGTTGAGCTAACCCAAACCCTCCTGTAAGTAACTACACCATTTTGTTGATACTCTACCAAAGGGATGCTACCCGATCACTAAAGCATAGGTAAGAAAGGGTCATATACGATGGTACAACTTATTAAAAATTCCCAGACATCGTAAACTATATAAATATCAGACAGAAAAACATTACAAAACCATATTAAAGAGAAAAAAGAAAAAAATAAAAAATAAATTCAAGCCTACTCAACATGTAGCTTGTTGTGAAGGAAACGTCCGGTCACTATGATCATAGAACTCTTCGAGAGATGGTATAACCCTTCGTGGTCCTCAAAAACTTCTAAATCCTAGCTTATGGGGATAAAATCTATGGTGCAGCTTCATCTAAAATCTCTATGGCAAAAGGCTGTATCTCTACAAATTAATCCCCAAACTTTGTCAGATCAATTCCTATACGTTTATCCCATACTGTATCCAATACTGCACACCAAACATGACTTCACAATTGAAGAACGGGATTATGAGAATGAAAAATGGAAGCAGCTATGGCAAAAGACTGCAAAGATGACAAAGTTGATTGAAAATGGATATAATACAAGCCTTCATGGATATTCACCATTTTGAAGATTGGTGTATTTTGCTTTGAACCCTGCAACATTGACAATGGGGTAAAGTTATCTCATTTCTTCGCCAGATAAAAGATTAAATACAAAACAGAGAACTGGCCATGTTCGATGAACATTACTAGATATGTGTAATAGTTTGTACCAAACATGCACTTTTTATAGTGTTTTCAAAGTAAATATTACTTATCTAGGCATCTCTGGTATTAGGTGCAAAAGAAGAAAAAACAACTCGATACAGAATTTGTGTGCTGGATTTGAAAAGGTGGTGAAATGTCCAAGGTATGAAGATTGTTGGTTTGTTAGAAAATTGTTTTAGAAAAAGTAAGGAGATAAAGCAAATGAATGCAAGGAACTTAACAGACCTGTATAAAGAGCTCAAATGACTTGCATTCCCTGGAATTAGGAGGCGAAGCCTCCATGATGCACGATCTGGAATCGAGTACCGTTAATGGGCACCCAATATCCCAGCCCCCACAGTCACAGCGCCCACCAGAAATCCACCTCTCAATAAGACTTGAGGGGCCACCAATTCTGGTTCTTGGTCCTCCGTGAACATCTGCTGGAACTATAATATTCATGCTCATCGAGCATTCACCACAATTTTGAGGACTACATTCTGAAGATATCGAGGAATTAATTCCAGATCTTTCGAGAAACTTCAATCCCCACCCTCCAATTCCTGACTCCTTGCTTTTCTTGCAAGTATGGTGTCTCATAACAATGGCTGCCAACTCAAGATTTGGAGCGTATTGACTTTCTACACTCGCCTCGACTGGATTAGGACTCTTTTGCACTTGATGAGATGAATGCCGATAAGTATCTTCAAAACTTGCACTCTTCTCCACAAATTTAGGAGATGGTCTCTCTTTATAAGAGCGAGTTGACTTGAAAACATCCACAATCTTCCGTGCCAATCTCTTATTCTGCTGGAGAGAATGACTAGAGCTTTGCATCTCTCCCAAATTATTGTCATCGGAACGAAATAGAACAAATCGAGTCTCCATTATCTCGGAGTTGTTTGAACAGAAAGTGATAGAAGAAGACACCCGCATCTTCCCAACAAGTTCTGGCTCAACCTCACGTTTATCACAATCTTTACTGCCATTTTCCATTGAATGAAACGTGTAAACACAATCTAAAACTTTACCGTCAGGAGACTCGACCTTAAAGGAGCTGGCCACATAAATTTTTCTCGTATCATCCATGGAAAAAGTGTACTGTGGTAGCCCATTCTTCCACGTGCATTGTAGCATTCCCTTAAACAAGGTAGCACATGAAGAAGAAGAAGATGATTGATCCGAGCAGGTGCTGTTTGTGCTCGACACAGGTATGATCCTTTTATGCAAAGGTGCAGATGCAAAAACATGGTTGAGAACGGTTGCATCCTTCATTAGTTTACAAGATGAACTGCTGTTGCTCAACACACGTGGAGGGTTCACAAATTCAAAATAAGCTGGCTCACAGATTTCAAGTAAACTCGTTCTTCCAGAGTTGGCATTGCCGTCTACGGGACTGAATTGGTTAAACGACAGGTTTTTAGAGATGTCCGTACTCTTGCTAGTGATAGTTCTGTTAATACCAGTCGAGCTCACGTTAACATTTTGGGTCCCAACTGGCAAAGGACATTCTATAAATAACTTAGCCATGTCATACGAACTTCTGCAACGACTTTCTGTTAAGTTAGCCAAACTATCTGACAACGTAGCCACTTCTGAGGCAAAACTGCACGCTGCTTCCCCTAATCTGTTCCTACATATCAATTCGAGGCACCCAAGAACATTTTTTTCGTCTATGCTTATGATATGCTTTGGAATTTTATAATATAAGCCATGATCGCAATGAAGGAATAACTCTCTGTAACTTGTGCTCGTTCTAGATCTCCTAAAGTTTAATAACACTGTGTGCTCTGGCTCTAACTTTCTAGTAAGTCTTTTCGATAAAAGATTTTCATCCGCTGACTGTGTATTTTCAGTAACACACTGCACTAAATCTTCTCCACCTCGGCCATCTTTCGCCATGTCGATATTTTCCATATAATTCCGATGAAAAAGAAAAAATTAAAGACATGCAGAAGTCTTTCTTCACTTCTAGCTCCTATTTCGCATAGGACTAAAGGTTGTAATCGGCTGCAGGGTACTGAAATCTGAAGCAATCTGAAAACCAAATGCCAAATGGCATGAGCAGTTAGTATCAATAAGCTCTAAAGGAAATCAAAAGGAAACAACAAGAGCGACAATGTGCTCCAAAATTGAACCACCATTTCAAAGAGAATCCAAAAGGCAGTATCAACGCTAAGAAAAAAAAATTATCAGATCATACGATACTCGGTTTCATCTGAAGGTTAATGATGCAATGGAAGCATAAGGAACGAATTACATGTTCAAAGATCCATTGATTCTATGACTACCAGAGACAGATCAATAGATACAAAATTGAGAGAACTCCCCGCAATATTTTATTATATTTAAATCAAGTGCTTATTCTTATCAGAAAAAGCTTATTTATCCACACAAAGATTAAAGCTAAAAAGGAAACTTACAATCTTAATAACAGAATGCAATAAAATATATGCCTCCTCAGGATTTGCTCTTTCATGAATTGAGTCAAATCAATTTAAAACTAGGAAAGGGAAAGCACAATGCATTTCTAAACTCCGAGGATAGCTGGGATATTGAGGAATATCTATAATGGCTCGAGAATAGGTCTGATTCTATCTCAACTTGAAAGAACTGATCTTTCTATCAGTTGTTTCACTTGGATAACTCTTGATTAAAACTAAATTAGATACTACTTAAAAGCAGATTATAATTAATTTGGCACCAAAACAATTCTATACATGAAATACATAATAACTTTTTGCTCACCATAAGAATCGGATTTCAAGATTGAAACCGACTTCTGTTCTATATATTCTGAGAAAACCCTGCTTCAACTCCCTCTTTCATAACAGCTGAAACCCATTCAAGAAATCGTTTCAACATTCAATTTCATAATTCTTTACAAAATAAATCCCAGTTTTACGAAGACCAAGCAAATAACAAATTGATACATACATATGCAAAAAGAGAAAATTTTAAGTACTTTGATTATGAGCAGCGTAAGCGACTTTATGAGATTGCTAGGTAGGTCCCACATGCGCCAAATTCTGACATTTTTATTGTTCCATTAAACCGCTGACCCGGTTCCTGCAGACATGCGGATCGACCTACAAATGAAATTGGCTTAGAGATACACACTAGAGACAGAGGATGAAGAAATTTATCTTTGTGTATGTATCGTATAGGACGTGAGAGAATAATGCTTGAGCTAGTGCGCACGATAGATTATTAGGTAGAAGCTACATGCCCACTTGGCAGCAAAGGGCGCCACCACCCTCGTCTCTGGCAGCATCAAACTTCAATCCAATATTTTCAAAAGGCACTTACGATTCATTTGGCATTAACTTTTGAAAAGTTAAAAGAAATTTTTATGATTTGAAAGTTTCTTTTGAACTTGTTTGATTAATTTTATAAAAATATTTATTCTAATTAAAAGAGTTTTAGAGAAACTTGATCTAAAGTGTTTTTCTCTAAGTGTGTGTTTGATTACATTTATTTTCCATAGAAAATATCAATTTTCCACCCAAATTTTTACTTGGAGTGTTTGATTGCTATTTTTTTCCATGGAAAACATTTTCCAACTTTTGAAAATATGCCTAATTTTCCTTGTTTTTAAGGAAAATATTTTCCTTGGGTAGAGGTGGTTTTTATTTTCCACAAAAGATGGAAAACATTTTCTTTTCTAGGTAATATTTTTCATGCCAATCAAACACACTCTAAAAATATTTTCAGAATTAAAAGTTTGATAAACGTATTTTATAAACTTATCTAGACCTTTAAATATGAATATTTACGATTATTTTTGTGAATTATAACTTAATCTCGTGTACATATTACGTATTGTCTATTAGGTGAAAATCGAAGTTCGATAGTAAATCTTGAATAAAGGAACAAAAGGAGCTAAAAAGGGAAGAATTCCAAAGTTGAGGGATCAAATTACAGATATTCAAAAAATTTATTCGAACCAAGAGGCGACGATTGATGAAGATAGAAAAGATTCGATTAAATAAAATTAGAAGTTAATGGACGAATATTGCACGAAGAAAGGATCCGAGGCTAAAACATAGTTCAAATTTCGTAATTTGAATTTTTGAGAAAATTGTCCAAAGAGAGACAAAGTGGACCCTTGATCATTTATTTCTCAAACACGCGACAACTAGTAAAATGTGGAAATATTTATATTTTTGTGCTATAGGTCAATGACATGAATTTAGAGGCGCTTGGTTTGTAGGATCCTAGCAAATTTAATGTGCAATAGTTGAATTGATAGGGTTTAATATCTAGTCTCGTTTGATTTATATAAAAATTACATTTTTATTTAATTTTGATTGAAAAATTATGAGTCATGAAATATGTAATCAAAATTAATTTTTCACTTAAACTTAAAATTTAATTCACTTTTATAGCTGAACCAAATACAGACTTATGACATGTTTGGTGGGGATTAAAATTAGATTTTTTTTAACAGATTGTGATAGTGGTTTTTGAAATGCGTTGTTGAAAAGTTGTGAGACCCATAAAAAGATGTGGTTAATATTGATTATTTGACTTTAATTTAGATTAAAATCAAATTTTAATTCGAACCAAATAACCTATTAACGTGGTCGTCTTTTTTCGAATGTCACAAGGATCAAGTTTCTTGGATATATATAAATGATTATATATATGTTTACTAAATATCAATTGAAATTTTTAAACAAGAGATCTTCACTTTTTTTTTCTCAACTACTAAAGTCCATTGTTTTGTTACTGTTTGTTTACCATTATTTCAAAACTCAATTTTCTTAAATTTATCTCCAATCACACATGTTCACAATAAAATATTTTGTACGTAAATTCAAAATTTTTCCTACCATTTATCACACATTCTCTAAAAAATCATCATTCCAAAACTCATCTTTATTGAATAATGGTAGACAAACATGGCTAGGTACAAGGCATATATTCTCGGCGTGGTTCGAATAAGCATATACCAAATACATGGATTATTTTTTTTCCTTGCTGAAATGTAATAAATTGAATTAAGAGATTATAATGACTGGTTGAAATTAGGACCCCCCATATTTTCAATATTCTCGAGATTTTTATAATTTTTTATATATTTATCACTTACAAAATCGAATAGTCACAATTGTCGATAATTTTCTGTATTTAAATCATTGACTTTGCTCAACAATAATGCATTGATGTCCACATAATGTCATGATGGTCATAATTGATTTTGTCATTGGTTTTTTGTGGTCTCCCAAAATTCCACTTTGTTAGTGATGCTTTCCACCCCTCCCCTCCCCCCCCCCCCTCAAATTAAAAAAAATTGTTGATTTCATAAAATTTATAGTCGAAAATAAGTTTAAAGAATTTTAAGATATTGGGCTCAAACAAAGACTAAATATTTTATTATGTTTCGAAGTATGTTGTGAATATGGTCACATAAGTGAGTTTTTAAATTTTGTAGAGGTGTGTTAGCAATACGATTTTGCATTACTTCAATACGAAAAAAATAATTCACTTAAGAGTCTCCTCTTTAAAGTTTGTGTTTTTCATATGAATATTCAAGAGTTCTTATAGCCTGAGGCATAAAAAAGGCCCAGTACCAATTAAAATCTATATTTTAATATAAGTCAAAGTTAACAATTCATTTCAACCACATATTTTATGGATTTTATGACTTTTCAATAACACATTTCGTCATCTTTTATTAAAATCTACTAAAAATCTGATTTTAATCCCTACCAAACGATGATAGTTTGATACATCTTTTGAATTTCAACACTTGTTACTTATATTCTCGAAATAGTCACCGTCTTACCGAACAATATTAAGAATAGAATTCCATACCACTTAAAATAAACAATAATTAGTCCAAGTCACCGTTTTTGTTTGACAAATAAAAAAATATACGAATTAACCTGTTTAGTAAAGATTTTTTGAAAATGAATTTTGTGAAAATTTATTTTTTAGAGAATATGTGATTAAAATATATTATAAAAGTATTTATTTATATGTATAAAATGTATAGTTAAAAATAAATTTGAAAAATAAATAAAATAGGACCAAACATTGGCTGAAATTATATAATTGTGCACTTGTATTGAGTGCTGTCCGTGTCCTTCATTTGTCCTATCATTTTCCCAATCTTCTGTGTATAATAATAGTATTTTAATCTAGTATAATTATTTTTCTTGTCCTACCTTACTAGTAGTATTTTTGAATTTCAAATTTGACAATCATAAGTGAGTGGGACCAAACTATTAATATTTAGCCCTTGTTTGATTTTCATTACATTACATTACATTACATTCTATTTTTCTCTCTCCTATTTTCAACCACACAATCTTCCATAAAATAATATTACACGTAAATCGAAAATTTTTCTTTTTTTTTCAACCACTCATTTTTCAAAAAACACTATTCTATACATTAAATTTTCCCCGTAATGGGGGCCAAACAGGGGCTTATATTAATTGAAAATCAAGATTGACAGGTATAACTTTTGTTTTTGTTCGGAAAAATAGACAAGTCCATTGTTTGATAGAAATCAACGTCAAGAATTTGAGGTTTCAACTATGATGATTCCATGGAAAAATTGATGTTTCGGCTACTTTACTCAAGGTTCATTTGGTACAATTTTTTAAATTATTTTTAAACACATATTCTATTAACCTATAACTTTTTGAGCAATACTACAAGTACAATAATTTTGACATCATGGTTGACAGGAAAATGCTACTTTTGCCCGAAAATATTTGACACCTGGGGTGATCGACCCTTACAAAGTGCACAGGTCCCACGTGTGTGTGTGTGTTTGGTCACCCTCTATATCAACTATTATGCTCTCCTAACTCGATTTTGATCGACAACCCTCTCACATACAAGTGGTGGGGCCACGATTAAAATAATGCGAGCCCCACAATTGTGAGAGGGCTATATACACACACAATTTTCCCAACTTTTTCTCACTTTTCAATCTCACATATCCAAAAAAATTATATTCACCATAAAAAAAAAAAACAAACAAACACACCATACGAGTTTATGGCAGTGTTTGAGAAAGTCCAAAATGAGTCATAGGAGCAAATTATTGAACTAGTTAATTAGGAAACTCATCCACGATGGCCCAGGGCAGGGTCGGTGGGGGCCGTTAGGGTTGGGGTTCAACCTTTTTATTTAGGAAACTGGAGTTTAAAAATTACAACTTAACTATTAAAATTAAGTGAGACGCTTCGTTCTCGAGTTGCAAATTTCCATTGACAATTGATATTAATGTTGCGATTTTTAAAAATAATTACTTAAAAATTTTAATTTAAACACTATCAAGCATGCTCTTCATTTGCTTCCATATTGCCGATAGCTAAACAACACTATTACTAATGGGCTCATTGGTTGCTGCAACAAGGCCCAAGTCGGCCCAGACAGAGCCCACCAATATGGGCCCAACTCAGCATGTTTTCCTTCCCTTCATTGGCCAACCCACTAACTCAGCCCAATTTCTAACTTTGATAAATGATTTGGTTTAAAAAATAAAATACGTCAAAAAAAAAAAGTTTTATATTTTACGTTGTTAAATATTTTTAAAGCAAGATAGTGGCACTTTGAAAAAATTAAAATGAAGAAAAAATTAAACTTATGTTCAAAGCAAAATTACTTGAATTCTTTAACAATTTCAAAAATATTTTAATTTTAACTTATGTCCAAAGTTTTCTGTCTACCTCGTCCAATAGTTTTTTTTGCGCCTTCCCCTTTGAAGTTTCGATATTTCCCATCCCTCACATTTTCTATAAGTAATGTTATTTGCAGTCATTTACTATTGTAGTCATCATACGTAATATACATGTGACGATTACTGATTTGATACATTAATATAATAATTTGTATTACTTTATGCATCATATAACTGTCACATATATGTCAGTAAGGCGATTGTGATAGTGAGCGGCTGCAAATAATATTATTTATTTTTTATTCTTAGGTCATCACAATTTGCATTCTTTTTTGGGTAAATGTCAGAAAAAATCTTTGAGGATCAACATAAAATGTCACTCAAAGGCTAGGGATCATTTGTAAAATTAACTCCTGGTCAGTGACCATTTGTTAAATTAACTCCATCTTTTTGCTCTCCAGCCCCTCACAGATTCACCTTCCCCATAAACCCTATCTCAGCTTCGCCATTGCCTCTTTCAGCCAGTGAGCATTATACACAATGAACTGTTCAAGTAAATCTTTCTCTATGAATATTTGTGTATATATATGTTTTTGGTGTATTATCTGATCCATGGCTTGTTATCTTACAGTTTCCGGTGAGGTGCCGGAGGAGCCCGTCGTCTCCAATAAGAGTGGTTTACTCTTTGAGAAGCGCTTAATCGAGCGACATATCGCGGTACATTCTCTCTATTTCTGTCCCTTCGTATATTCATAAATACTGCATTTTTGGTCAGTAGTAAATTTTATCAAAAAATTGGTATAATTTCAAAACATCAATCTTCCAAAGCAATTTTATAGAACTAAAATACAACAACAATAAAAAATAGATCTTTCGAATGCAGCTCAAATAAGCGATAAAAAGGTTGTCATTTGAGCCATTATAATGGAACTTCTGATAAGCTTTTTCTTGTTTCGTTGATTCCCCTTCAACTGAGAAGACTGTTTTTTTTTAATTATATGCCTGTTAATGACTGAGGGACACATCTCTCTCTCTCACAGCATTTATTCATTTTTGATATATATGATATTTTTGGTTACTGGGAAATTATGACGGAAGATTGATGAAGTTCTTACAGACAAGTTTGGAATTTTGTTTCTTGTTGGGCACAATGATCTCATTAAAATTTTCTAAGTTCTTGAAGTAATTTAATAGCTATGGTGTCTTAGTAGACATCGAACAAGATGTAGTTAATCTTTTGAATGGAGGTCTAAGTGCTAAATGGGTTGTAATTTGAGCCATGGTAATGAAACTTCTGGAAAACTCTTTCTCATTACGCTTCCCTTTTTTTTTTTTCTTATTTCTTCATTTTTTGCTGCAACAAGAGAAAAAAAGAAAAGAAAGAGGCTGGTGAGAAATTCCATTAGTTGAATTATTTGCTTAATAATATTGTAGCTTCTGGATTGATTGATTAATAATAGTAATTTTTATGTGACGATCTATCTTTAATTGAAGATGCGTGTATGTGCTTTTTATTTTTTGACTAGGATTATGGAAAATGTCCTATTACTGGAGAGCCGCTTACGATGGATGATATTATTCCAATAAAAACTGGAAAGGTATGCTCTTTGCACAAATATTCGTACCTTTGAATTTACATTTGGCTTTCTCGCTTCCTTTTTTTAAAAAAAAAAATATTCAGGCTGTTTTTATTGTTTTTCTAATGGGATTTTGAGTGCCAAGCAGTTTAGAGCTTAATTTTATTGGATTTCTGGGCAGATTGTGAAGCCTCGTCCAGTTCAAGCTGCTAGTATTCCTGGGATGCTGGGAATGTTTCAAATTGTACGCGATTCTTTTCCTTGGCTTTTTAATTCTTGTTCATGGATCTTTCTCCGACATTTAACATTTACTTGTCTCCCAGCATCATTTTCTAATAGGATGTACGGTCATTATATAATGGTGTAGAATTTGTTCTGAGATTGTGTCTAATGAAGACACTAGTTATGATTTGGCTTAAGAAGTTCGTTAATCCTCCCCCTCAAAAAGTAGGTTTCAGTTTCTAGTTTCCATCTCCCTCGCCTCTTATGGTTTTTGTCTTATTCAAATTTTGGACGTAAAGACTACATTTTCTCTATCTCTTGGTATATTCAAGCGATACGGATGGATTATGAAAGATTGAAGTTCACTGATTTGTGAAGATAGTAATATAATTCATAATTGTAATTTCTTTATGCTAAAAGAGTTTTATGAAAGGTTCAATTCAATAATTCCACTTTTATGCATACGCGGATTCTGAATCGAGAGAAGCAACTCAAATGGTTAGCACAAATTTCCTAATTATCATGTAACTATTCTGTTGGAAAATCTGATCCATTCTAAAGCATGTTTGGGAATTGTTTGTAATTGGTTGAAATCATAAATAGGTAAAAATGATTGATGGATAAATGGGAAGTACATGTGCGTCTCACGAATGTGTGAATAAGTAGTAGTTTGACCAATGGTGTTTATAATTTAAACACGTGCCAAACAAGTATAGTTTAAACACGTGCCAAACAAGTGCCTACTCATTGTATATTATTTGGCTAGTTTCTAGCACATTCTTGTAGTGTCCATTTTAGGAAATAACTGTAAACTATCTTGTTCTTTCATTAGGTTTTCTTACTTTCTACATTTTACTGGTTTGAGCATCAACTTTCTTAGCATACTATATCTAAAATATCCTGATTCTAAATTTAAATATGAATGGTGTTAAAAATCTTCATTGTTGTCTGATTGATACTTCTTGATGCTTAATTGGTTTGATTCAAACTAGGAATGGGACGGTTTGATGCTATCTAATTTTGCTTTGGAGCAACAGTTACACACCGCAAGGCAAGAGCTAAGTCATGCCTTATACCAGGTAATAACAAATAGCTAGATGCTAATTGATTTTCTTAGCTTTTATTGCGTGGCTTCTTTTGTGGAAAATGTCTATTTTTCATTCCAGTGGCAACCTATTTCAGTTAGATAATAACGAGTAGCTAGATGCTAATTGATTTTTTTAGCTTTTATTGCATGGCTTCTTTTGTTGAAAATGTCTATTTTTCCTTCCAGTGGCAGCCTATTTCAGTTAGATTGTTATTTGCTTTTCATTGCACTTTTTTCTTAACTTGAACATATAATGATTGCGTGTGCACTCTACTTTAACTAACATTTCTTATTTTTTGCATTAATTTCATCCCATTTCCTGCCTAAATTACTTGCCGTTTCTTCATTCCATCGAACTTCCCAAAAGTATATTTAGATTTGATGGAAATGAATGCAAAAATACATAATTGCTTTTGCCAGATTTTCACGTACACATGCATTTAGTTGCATGCTGCCTCACTTTGGCCGCCAATTTCTATGTTGTCTATGCAGCATGATGCTGCATGTCGTGTTATTGCAAGGCTAAAGAAGGAAAGGGACGAGGCACGTGCATTACTGGCACAGGCTGAAAGACAGATACCCATGCCAGTAACAGTACCAGATGCAGTTAATACCGTTCCCTTAAGCAATGGGAAAAGAGGTTCTTAGCTTTTGTGTATTTCAGCTCATTCTATTTAACCTGTGCTTTTGATTGTTTATTTCTGTTTTTGACTGTCTCTGTAGCTGCTGATGATGATGTGATGGGTCCGGATGGGAAAAAAATCCGTCCAGGAATCTCAAGTGCTATCATTTCTGAGCTTACAGACTGTAATGCTGCTCTTTCACAGCAAAGGAAAAAGCGACAGGTAATGCCTGTACTGTATACCCTTGGCTTCACGAAATAGGGCATTCTAATTTGATATTAAAACTTCTTTCTGATAATTCTTAAGCTCCTGTGTTTATTTTTTCTTCCAGATACCTGCAACACTGGCTCCCATTGAATCTGTGGAGAGATACACTCAACTCAATAGTTATCCTCTTCATCGAACAAACAAACCTGGCATATTGTCTCTGGACATCCAGTACTCCAAGGTATTTATTTATGTTTTTATTTTCTTATTGTATCCTTTGTTCCATACTAAATTTTTCATTATCCTCTTAGGCAGGACTTAGCAGTGTGCTAAGAAAGTTTTCTATTTCTAACTTCTTATAAAAAAGGGAACGAAGGACTACTGTTGATGCAACAGTAAATTAATTCAATTTTACTGTGCATGATGTCATTTTTTAATTTTTCATTTTGTTTATGGTCAGACAAATGTTCTTCCACACATCATGCCATTAGCATTAAAAAAAAAAAAACTTTAGCCCCTGTTTGATCCTCATTTTTTGGAAATGAGAATGTGTGGAATAGTGTTTTATTGAAAATTGAATGGTTGAAAAAGAAGTAAAAGTTTTCGATTTACGTGTAATATTATTTTATAAAGATTGTGTGGTTGAAAATAGGAAAGAGAAAAATGAAATAGAATGTAATTTAACGGGGGCCAAACAAGGTCTTAATATATATAAACTGCCGTAAGTAAAATAATAAAAAAAAAAAACCTCCATACAGTGTGGAGAGATGGCAAATCATGTACGGAGAGTTGATAAACTCTTCGCATAGTGCAAAGTATTAAAATAAAAATAAGAAAACTCTCCGCACAGTGCGGAGAGAGTTGAACCATGTCAGGAGAGTTAGCAAACTCTTCGCATAGTGCGGAGTAAAAAAAAAAAAAACCTTCACACAGTGCAAAGAGATGGCAAACCATGTGCGAAAAGTTGGCAAACTCTTTCTTAGTGCAAAGTATATATAAAAAAAAAAAACTCTCTGCACAGTGTGAAAAGAGTTTAATCATGTGCGGAGTAAAAAAAAAAAGTGTGGAGAGAATTGAACCATATGCGGAGTTTAAAAAAAAATTCTCCGCACAGTGCGGAGAGAGTTAATCTCTTCGCTCAGATCTCTCTGCATTGTATGGAGAGATTTTTTTTTTTTATCGATAACTTTTTTTCCTTTTTTATCCTTCTCTGCTTTCCCTACTTTTCTCCATTTCTTTACGCAATATCTATTTTTCCTACTTCTTTATGCCATTTATCTTTCTTCTCTCCTACAACCTCGTTTCTTTTTCTCTCAAACTCCTCTCTCTCAACCAAATTGTAAAATTTTTGTTCAATACACATTTTATCTCTCATACACCTTAATATTTTTATTGTTCAAGTCAAACTTTAATATTGTGCTGAAACTCATCAAGAAATCAAGTCGATCATCCTTTTAGATACTTTGATGAAACTTATTTACTTGTTCAAACTCTAAGTACTAACCTTTGTTCTACGATCTTGTTACAATTTCTCGTGAACTCTACTAGCAAGTTACCAAAATAATGTATTTTAAGCTCATTCATATCTTGCTTCTGGTGAAATTAAATATTTCTTGGATTTGTAAAATTGCTCGATTTTACAATGTACCTAAATTTATACAATATCATACTCTAAAGATGGAGAAAAGAAGCAAAAGACGAAAACATTAAAAAAGAAAGAAGAAAAAGAAACAAAATTACAACTCAAGATGACTAGAAAGATAAATTTTTTTCTGAAAAGCATAATCTCTACTATCTAAAATTATTCCATGACTATAATTTGTTTAAAATTGAGTAGGAAGTTTTTTAAAGTGATTTACAAAAATTTGTCTAACAGATTCCCTTCTTATGACAAGCATAAATACAAGACCATGTTTCATATGTTATACAATAACAAAACATATTTTTCTTAATACTCAAACTCTATATTTCCCAATTCTCTGCACATCACAAAAATGCAAGGCTTACCTTTGGAGCAAATGGTAACTTTTTTCTTAAAAGTTTGTTACTTGTGTTTTTATCTTATATGGCTTATGATAATGTCTGATTGTTAATAGAGGCACATTTTACTACTAATTAATTAATGTTAATCCTTATTGCTTATTCAATAATATTGCGTTACATGAAAAATAATCATAAATTCGACTAGACTAGAAGAAAAGGAAACAAAATTACAACTCAAGATGACTGGAAAGATAAATTTTTTTCTGAAAAGCATAATCTCTACTATCTAAAATTATTCCATGACTATAATTTGTTTAAAATTGAGTAGGAAGTTTTTTAAAGTGATTTACAAAAATTTGTCTAACAGATTCCCTTCTTATGACAAGCATAAATACAAGACCATGTTTCATATGTTATACAATAACAAAACATATTTTTCTTAATACTCAAACTCTATATTTCCCAATTCTCTGCACATCACAAAAATGCAAGGCTTACCTTTGGAGCAAATGGTAACTTTTTTCTTAAAAGTTTGTTACTTGTGTTTTTATCTTATATGGCTTATGATAATGTCTGATTGTTAATATAGGCACATTTTGCTACTAACTAATTAATGTTAATCCTTATTGCTTATTAAATAATCTTGCGTTACATGAAAAATAATCATAAATACGACCACACTACTAGCACTAATATCTTACTTCTTACCTGGCTTCCCTTTCTGACTGAACCGATTGGAAAATCTTCCTCCCCCGGCAAAGTAGTTCCGCTTCGCTGTCCAGCCGACTGAGATTCTTTCAAGAGAGCAATATACTTTAAACGAAAATATAATATATGCAGGATACAAAAACTCTCATCAAGCTCTAAATCTAATTTCATTGTAATCTCATATGTGTAACAATTCTCCACCAAAATTCTAATTTATTCACATAAATTCTCAATATGAAAGATAATATGCATTTGTAGGTTAATTATTTTAGTCGATAGATAATAGGGTACGGTAAAAATGTTGGTCCAAAAAAAGTTTTAGTCCACCCTAAGTGGAAATTTTATCTCAAAGATGGTCCTTTTTTTTATCGATAATTTTTTTCTTTCTTTCCTCTCTGCTTTCCCTACTTTGTATATTCCTCTCGATGGTTTTTTACCATAATTCTTGACAAAGGTATTTAAGTTTTTCATCTTTTACCTCAAACCTTAAAAGATTGCTTCTAATATGATTTTTATCTATTTTTTGCTTGTATAAAATACAGATCATAATGAACGTGTTTACTATTTTCCTTATTTAATCAACTTTATTTAGTGAGCAATGCGTTTCATTTGTTAGGATTGCTTTAAAATGGGAAAGTCACTTGGAAAAAAATTAGCAATTTCATAATCACCATTCTTTTTTCTTTTTCACAATTATATAAAAAGAAAACAATATTGAATTACAACATACTTAAGAAATTCAATATTAAATAAATTTTATACATTTATAACAAATTATAAATCCGTATATTCAGCTTACCGTATATGCTGCCTACTGTATTTGCAGCTTACCGTATATATTGCCTCCCGTATTTGCAGCCTACTGTATATGCTGTCTACCGTATTTTCATATACTGATTTTTGCACTAATAAATACTGAGAATGCAGAATACCGTACATTCACTTTCTAAATCGAATGTCAAAAAAAAATTCCAGATTTTTATTTTTCCAACATAAGCAAAAAATAAATATTAAAATATATAAAGCACAAAATATAAATGCATATGAATATGCAAGTCGATTTATAACTTTCTACTTAATTTTCAATTTTTCAATATTGAATTATACAAAATTTAGAAATATAATCTTCACATTTATACGAGAAAATAATGTATACAGGATACAAAAACTCTTCAAACTCTAAATCTATTTTCATTGTAATCTCATATATGTAACAATTCTCCACCAAAATTCTAATTTATTCACATAAATTCTCAATGTGAAAGATGATATGCATTAGTAGGTTAATTATTTTAGTCGATCTCCAAAAAAAGTTTTAGTTCACCCAAAGTGGAAACATTATCTCTGCTTGCGGAGAGATCAACTCTTGCTGCACTGTGCGAAGAGATGGTCTTTTTTTATCGGTAATTTTTTCTTCTTTTTTTCTCGCTTTCTCTACTTTTCTCAGATGTTTATTCCTCTCGAAGATGGTTTTTTTACCACGGATTCTTGACACAATATCTAAGTTAATTTTTCATCTTTTACCTCAAACCTTAAAAGATTGTTTGTAATATGATTTCTTTCTATTTTTCACTAGTATAAAATACAGATCATAATGAATGTGTTTACTATTTTCCTCATTTAATCTACTTTATTTAGTCAGCAATGCTTTTCATTTGTTAGGATGGCTTTAAAATGGGAAAGTCACTGGGAAAAAATTTAGCAATTACATAACCATCCTTTTTTTTCTTTTTCTTTTTTTAATTCTCGAAAAAACAATTATATAAAAAGAAGACAATATTGAATCAAAATATTTAGTTCTGAAGAATTAAAAAATTCAATATTATAAATTTTATACATTTATAACAAATAATAAATTCGTATATGCAGCTTACCGTATTTACAAGCAGCTTACCGTATATGTTGCCTGCCATATTTGCAGGCAATTTACCGCATTTGTAGCTTAATACATATACTGCCTACCGTATTTGCAGCTTACTGTATTTTCATATGCCGATTTTTGCACTTATAAGTACCGAGAATGCAGAACATCGTACATTCACTTACCAAAATGAATGTCCAAAAAAAAAAAAAATTCAGATTTTTATTTTTTCAACATAAGCAGAAAATAAATATTAAAATATATGAAGCACAAAATATAAACGTATATAAATATGTAAGTCGATTTATAACTTTGTGCTCAATCTTCAATTTTCCAATATTGAATTACACAAAATTTAGAAATATAATCTTCACATTCAATTCAATCATATCAACATTCTCAAAGCATACAAGCAAAATAATTTGTATAACCTCGTATATTTTTTATTTAAGCATGAAATATACAAGCATATTTTTTCTAGATGACACAATACTGTCATACAATTGTAAAAATAATTTACAATTATTTTCTTATATCATGAGATATTGCTTCAAAAACATTCCAAAAAACTAAAATTCATACATTAATAAAAATACAATAAATATAAAATTCGTGCAACGCACGTGACAGTGACTAGTCTATATATTTTTGCAACTACCTGTGGTAGATTTGGGACCATTTAGTGATCAAGGCTTCAGACCCTGATTTGAAGCTTAAACATTGACTCAGGCTGTAGGTGCTCCTGTAAATAAATGACTTTGTAGTTGTGGTTCCTTGAATTTTTGTTGCCATAATCATGGTGTGCTTCTGATGGATCAAATTACCCATCTAAACAGAGTATTGGACATATCATATTCAGACCTATTTTGTCTGATTTGTTGTTTTAGGACATCATTGCCACTGCTGGGGTTGATTCAAATGCTGTAGTCTTTGATAGACCTTCTGGGCAGATAATATCTACACTCAGTGGTCATTCAAAGAAGGTAATAACCATCTTTATTTTCTTTTCTTTTGGTTCTTTCTGATTGAATGTGTGCTGGATGTTTTCTCATATATAGGTTACAAGCGTCAAATTTGTGGCTGAGGGTGAAGTAGTTGTTACCAGTTCTGCTGATAAGGTAAATTTAATACTCTCTGCAAGAATACTTTTGTATTTTTTTTTCCTATTACATGATTATTGTATTTGCCCAGTTGTCATTCACGCTTTTCAGTTTATATTCGCTTGCTTGGGCTTTCACAATTTCTGAAAAAGCTGGCTGCTCCACTATATTTTATTAGTTGTAACTAAGTAACTAATGCAAGGGCTATGGAAGCATTTTGGTTGGCGATTGAGATGAAAAAGGCTCAATTTGAAAATTTAGATTGCTTGTTTTGAAACTCTAATTATTCTCTCCTGCCTTTTGGCTTAGATATACATACACATAAGGAGCAGGAAATATCTATTTGAACATCAGATTAAGCAGTTGATTACAGATTTGGAAAATTTCAGTTCTGTCAGTAATTGGGAATTGGGTTGAACTTATAAACCTCAGGACTTCACCTGTGGGATTTTTCATTCAGTTTGAAGTACTAGTCAATTGTGCAAATCACGACTGAGTCACGCGATTAAATCTGATTCACTGGAATTAGAAAGGTAAATAAGCTCATATCAAGAATTGGAATGAATCTTAGTATTCATTAATATTAATTTCAGGATACATTAGTTTCACAGGGAGTGCAGATTATGTTGTACCGAATTCGTTTTGTAGCCTTGTTATTTGTATTTGTTGAAATGAATTTAGATTGATCTTCAAACGCTTTATTCTTTTGTTCTTATAGTGATGGAGCTCTATGTAGGTTCAGCCATGTAAATAGTCTCCTAAATGTTATTTAATGACTTTAGGTTTGTATGCTTTTCATTTAGCTGATTCAAATTTATTGTCAAAAGGCTTAGTTTGTAGTTGTAGCTCTGCATGCCCTGCATACCGTTTCCAAAGGAGAGCTACATTGAGACATAACAACATCTAACTGTAGGTGGATTAGATCTCACTTTGCTTATAAGAAGGAAATTACCAAGTAAAATATTCCAAGTGACTTGTACAGATGGGGAGCTTTTCAAAGGATGGTTAGGCTGAAATGTCTCGGCAATTCGAGTTGCACTTTATTCTTTTACATTTTTGGGTTTGATTGGAGCAATGTGACACGCACTCTGCTCTTTGATGCTACACCTGTCAACAAGTAGATATATGGACTAAGTTAGAAAAGAGAAGAAGGAAGAAAACTCATGATTATAAGCAAAAACAACTTGACTAACAAACTGAAAAAATGTCAACATGATATTGGTTGATTTTTCATTGCACTTTGTGATTGATTGCTGATTGATTGCTATTGTCTGTAATCTAACTAATAATGATTACAAGATTTTGACTTCAATTTATTTTATATTGAGCCATATACCTCGATGTATTTTTCAATTTAGTTGTTTGCTTTATATCCAGTACACCTCTTCTGCTCTTTGCAGACTGTTCGTGTATGGAAAGGATCTGAAGATGGTAATTATGATTGCAGTCATATTTTGAAGGATCATAGTGCTGAGGTAATCAACTTTTGCCTTTTCTGCTGATGAATGTGTTTTGCATGGACATCTCCAAATTCCTTCAGTTTGAAGCATCTTTTCTAAGAGCTCAAGCTTTTGGAGGTGGGACAATTTTATCTTGTTGTCAACATGCCACTCACCTTCAGGCCAGTTCAATTTTATGTCAAAGGTCAGGTGCACAATTTTTTTTAACAGAGTGGTGTTAAGACTTGAGCTCTGGACCTTTGCCTTTGCTCTCTCTGATACAATGTAGAACTAGGACAAGTTATTTATTTGAATCTCGTCTTCAATGCGATACCCTGCATTTTATTGGGGACAAATATGCAGCCTGACATTTGCTTTTGACGTATTCTTGTGCTGCACATTCGAACATGCTGTCGAGTGATTTCTTTTGTTAAAATGAGAGTCCATTTGGATGCTCTAGTACATTAAACTCCTTTTTCTATTGTAAAATGTATAAACAAAAACATGTTGAGAAACATGAATAATACTGTCCGTATATCATCTAGTTGGATATTTATCACTGGATGCCTGAACATGTAAGGATGCTAGATGCTTGTGGTGGATTCTATTTGATATATCATCTAAAAGTGTTTGTATTAGTTTGTTGTGTTAGCATGCTAAATTCTTCTAGTGTTGTGTATGTCACATTACTATCTGCTACTTGGTGTATTATTTCTATGATGCTGTCGATCAATTTAGACAACATGTCCTTGAAAGGCTGCGGTGAGAGGCCACTGTGTGTATAGGCATTGCTGTATGTGAGAGGCCAAAATTGGAAGTGTTCGCAACATATACCGAAAGGGTACTAATTAGCTACCATTATTGACAAGTTCACTAGGTCTCAAATTTGAACTATTACAACAGTTACTTTGTTGATAGATTTGGGTTCATCGCAGTCATCCAGATATATTGCTACCATCTAAAAGTGTTTGTATTAGTTTGTTATGTTAGCATGCTAAATTCTTCTAGTGTTGTGTATGTCACATTACTATCTGCTACTTGGTGTATTATTTCTATGATGCTGTTGATCAAGTTAGACAACATGTCCTTGAAAGGCTGCGGTGAGAGGCCACTGTGTGTATAGGCATTGCTGTATGTGAGAGGCCAAAATTGGAAGTGTTCGCAACATATACCGAAAGGGTACTAATTAGCTACCATTATTGACAAGTTCACTAGGTCTCAAATTTGAACTGTTACAACAGTTACTTTTTTGATAGGCTCGGAAGGGTACTTCTGCAATACAGAAAGACCTAAAGACCTTTTTATCTTATATTGCATTATGTCAAAACATTATAATAATTCTCATCCGTTTTTACCATTGTAGATGCTCTTTTATAAGCTTTTCAGGTAGTGATGGGGCATCTAACGGAGATTTGTTAGTTTTTACAACCCAAATCTTAATTAATAGTGAATAAATTTACTTATACAGGTTGCTTGTGTCTGAGTGATGCGAAAAAGCTCCTTCTTAGGGTCTTTCATCGCAGTCATCCAGATATATTGCTTTATACGTGAAACCTGGTTTGCAGGGAAACTTGAATCTTGACAGTCTGGGTTTTGGATATCTTCTTCTAAATAAATTAAAATTTTGCCAGTACTGGGTTGCTTTCAATTATACCAACTCATGTTAGTCTACGTTCATTTCTACATATATGCAGCTATGTGGGCGCTTGATATATTGTGAAGTCAGAATATTATTTACACACACATTATACAAAAATGCTCACCTTGAGTGAAGTAATTGAGAGGGGAACTGGGGTTTCAATTTGTCTTCTTGGTCCTTGTTGCCTTTGCTTAGGTTGGGTTGGGTTGGGTTGTCTCCTTTATAAAGTGCTCAGTTATTATTTGATATGACTTTTCAGGTTTATTCTTTTCCCTTTGTTCTTTTGCTGAATTGACTGCAAATCCAAGATTTTTGTTTTGTCTCTAGCAAATTTGAACTTTTTTTTACAATCGTACTTCAATGATTTTTTAGTGCCAGCTCACCAATTCTATGCGAGTCAAAATTTATTTGTTCATTTCACCTAATTCAGGTCTAACATAGTGGTGAATCATGGCAGGTGCAAGCTGTTACAATCCATGCCACCAATAACTACTGCGTGACAGCTTCTCTTGATAACACATGGTGCTTCTATGAACTTGCTTCGGGCTTATGTCTAGCTCAGGTCTCAGCCCTTCCAATTCTTACATGAATCTGTGTACTGACTCAAATGTTTATATGGGTATGGCTACTTCTGGTTTGGGGCATTTATAAGTTATTTTTCAGGTTGAAGACACTTCAGGATCTTCTGAAGGCTACACATCTGCATCTTTTCATCCTGATGGCCTCATCCTTGGAACCGGTACCTCTGGGTCTCTTGTTAAGATCTGGGATGTGAAAACTCAGGTGTAGCCGTACTTCTAATGACCAGATTCAACTTATCTTCTATTTCTTTCTAGTCCATGAGTAGTATTAATATTATTATTATTATTTTTTTTTTTGTGTTTGTGTGTAGGCAAATGTAGCGAGATTTGATGGGCATGTTGGGGCAGTAACTGCAATTTCATTTTCAGAGAATGGTTACTTCCTAGCTGTAGGTTTTTTTTCTACAGGGAACATAAACAGCGAGGCTGAAAATGATTAACTCCATTGTCTGATCTTGTTTCAATTTTCCAGACTGCAGCCCAAGATGGTGTCAAGCTTTGGGATCTTCGCAAATTGAAGAACTTTAGGACTTTCACTCCTTACGATGAAAATACACCAACACAATCAGGTGCTTTTACCTCTTTCACGTCTAGCATACCTTATGTTTGGTTTTATGAGATCAAAACTTCTAGAAAGTATTTGAAATTCTCGCATATGTCCATGCTTTATATTTGTATATTAAATGAAAGAAAGAAGATTCCTCACAAGTTTGTGGGACAACTTGTATCGGTTGAGTCTTTACACATTTTTTTATTCTGAAAACGTGCTCCTCACCTTTTCTTTCTGAATTTGCAGTGGAATTTGACCATAGTGGAAGTTACCTTGCGCTTGGAGGCTCAGATATACGGTAATATATGAAGATAAATTCATAGTGCTAGTTTGGTTTGTGTGTAGAGTATATCAATATCATTATTCATTATTTCCATTTCTCGTCCGGTCTGTATATTCCAAGAAATGATATTTGTGCTCGCCATACACATGATGACTGCTATTCATATTTCACTCTGTATACGTCAGCTTTCATTGTGGTCTTGCAAGCTCATGTCTATGTGTCGTTATGACAGAGTTTATCAAGTTGCCAACGTCAAGTCTGAATGGAACTGCATCAAAACGTTCCCCGACTTATCAGGCACAGGTTAGATCCTCTCAGTGTCTTTTACCAATGTCCTTTTGCACCTTAGAGACTTGGCATTTTAACAAATGGCATGTTTGGTATGGTGAATTAAGAAAGTCTTGTCCACTGTATTATCTAGAATGTTCTAATACAGCGTCCCTGTTTTTCAACATAGTCGTTTATCTCTATATGGAGCAAAAATTAGCTCAAACTGTAGAGTTCATTATAGTCGCTTACCATGAATGCAGGTAAAGCAACATGTGTAAAGTTTGGTCCAGATGCAAACTACATAGCTGTTGGATCTATGGATAGAAACCTCAGAATATTTGGGTTGCCCCAGCCTGGGGAAGATGATTCATCAATGTCGTGAAGCAATGTTCATTGCGCTTCTGGCGGACTGAGTCATGTAGCTGTCCCTGCAGTTGCTGCAATTTCTGTCTCCAGGATTATGAAGTAGTGAAAGTTGAAAGCATAATCTACTTCAGACTCGGTTTGGGCTCAATTCTATGAGAGTGAGGATAAGTAATATATCTGAAAAACTGCCAACTCAATCTTGCATTCTTTCGCGGATTTGCCTTTTTGTTTGTAACGAAATTTGAGTTCATGTTGATCCTCTTTATAAGACGTTGGAATTGTTATTCCGTCTATGCAAACAATTGTAATGTGCTTTACTTGGGAAGTTTTTGGATCGTCTCTTTAGCGCTTACTTGTCCGGAAATCATAATGAATGGAATAACTTGGGACGAATGTCTTCGTACACTTTGTGACACCAATTTGTATGCCATTAGCCTTGGCAAGCTGGGGCCATTCACCAACATCTGGGCAAAAAGAATTCCTCGCCCATTCTATAAAGAGAATCGAAATAGCCCCAAATGACCACTCCTATAGAGAGGGCAAGGGCGTGAGCCAAGCCCGGAAATTCTGTGAGGACCGGCTCACAAACGATGCAAGATGGCTTGTTGGCTGGCGAGCCGTTCATAGGCTCATCTAAAAGCAGCCATTTGAGCTGATGGCACCTATGAGTTGATGTCTATTCAATTTCAACTTACGAGGCGCCTTGAATCTCAAGTTACTCATATCGTAATACCTTAATGTCAAACCTCAAGGCAGTGAAATGAACGATCTTACCATATGATGTATGTGGAGTTAAATGTTTGATTGGCCATTGAACTTTGATATATGTAATATATTTAAAGGTTTATTCACTGTATTTTCAAACTTGTCCATTGGCCATTCAACTTTGCTCTGTTTAGTTCCATTGACCACCGGATGAAAAACGTTAGTGAACTTGCACACGTGGCCAACAGTAATTCGACAAGGCATGTTAAATTTTTACTAAGTACCACGTAAATACCAAATAAGCTGTGCCAGACACGACTTTAGCTTTGAATAATAAAACTTTCAAAATTGATATTCATTCTCAACCCAAAAAACACGTCTCCTTCAACCAGTTTTAAAACCCTAACCACCAATCGGTGCTACCCCACAATTGAAGACCCCACAAGCACAAATCAGTTGAAGTCTTGAATCGAGGAAGGCTTGCACATGGAGGGACCACTTGAAGGTAACTGAAAGTCAATATTTTACATTATCCCCATGAATATAGACAACAAGAACAAGACAAATGATGGCTGCCGCTGTTCAAATTTAGGTTTAAGCATCACAATCATGATTTTTTGTATCTTCGTCTGTATTTTCATGAATATAGACAAAGAAGCCAAATACTTAATGCTTGCTGCTTAATGCTTTATAAATATGTTAAATTTTTGTATCTTCCTGAGGAACCGAACCCGAGTCCTTGACAAGCTGCATGATTTCAACTCGATTTAGAAATTATCTTTCATTACTTGGAGGCCCAATACTAATTTTCATAAAACCAGAATCTAAATATATTAATTTGGCTGCTGTTCATACTATGACAGAAGATGTAAATATGTATAATCTGGCTGCTGCTGCAAATATGTATAATCTGAATGAAGTTTTTCATATCATGGTAGCATTATTTAATAAAGAAATTTATGAAGACACACGTATGATCTGCAAATATGTATAATCTGCTGCTCGGGATACTTATGAAGACACACATATGAAAATAAATTCATTTGATTGCATGATATAAGCCTTTGCCTCCATTCTTGGGTTCAAAATATTTTTTCCTATAGATGTGTAATTAGAATTTCCTAATAGCCAGTGGTGTAATGTTGTGATTGTATCAGAGGATGACTCAGATTTCGTTGATTCTGAGAAGGATTTGGAGGATGAAGACGACACATTGTATGAGTAAAATGTGACTGATGGTATCGAAATGGGGTTGGATGGCCACGATCAAGTTGAAGATGAACGGGAAGAGGGCAACGATATGGAAGTGGAATATCCGATGGAAGAGTTATTAACACAATGCTCATTAGATGACGAGAGTAGGTTTCGATTTCCTCAATTTTCTTCTGAGACCGATATGAAAAACCCACAGTTTAAGGTAGAGCAGATTTTTAGCTCAACAGTCGAGGTCAAAGAGGTGATTAGGACTTATGGTGCATTGAATAGGTATAATGTGAAGTTTACGGCGGACAAGGAGAGACGAGTACAAGGTGTGTGCAAAATTGGGTGTAAATGGAGGATATGGGCTTCCTCATTTGATGGCACTGACACATTACAGGTGAAATCATACATATCGGCCATACATGTAGTCGGGACTAATATAATAGACACTACAACTACAAGTTCCTGACACATCGTTACCTTGAACAATTCAAAGCGGACCCTGACTGGAAAATAGAGCTTCTTTTAGCGACAGTTAAGAAGGACCTACACACAGACATAAGTAGAAATGTTGCGTGGAAGATGAAAAGTTATGTTAAAGAAGTATTAGTCGGGACTATGCAAGACCAATTCGAACGATTGAGGTCTTATGCGGTCGAGGTACTCCAAACAAATGTTGGTTCTATTGTCATCATAGCTTTGTAGCAGCAAGTGTTTTAGGGGATGTACATATGTTTCAATGGTTGTAAGATGGGTTTTAGAAATGGTTGTAAAAGGGTGGTTGGCGTTGATGGTTGCCACTTACGAGGTTGCTTTGGAGGAATTTTGCTGACTGTGGTTGGCCTAGATGGTAATGATTGTATTTACCCTATTGCTTACGCCGTTGTTCAAAAGGAAAATACACCGACTTGACGATGGTTTTTAAATTATCTTGCCGAGGATATTGAAATTGGAAATGGTAGATGATGGACCTTGATGACAGACAAGCAAAAAGGTCTGCAAAATGTGACAAATGAGTTGTTTTCTGAGGCCGAGTATAGATTTTGTGTACGACACATGTACACAAATTTTTTCAATGCCAGTTTCAAGGGAAGACTTTGAAAAATTATCTCTGGTGGGCTGCAAAGTCAACCTATTCCTAACTATAAGCATTGGATGCAACAAAATGTCTCTTGCTACTAGTGGTGTTTCGCTGTCTATACACGATTCTGACTCATTTTGGAGCTGCCCAATGATTACAACCAATTGCTTAATGCCATTTCTACAAACACCACATGATTACTCCACCAAATGGTGCGCTGTATTTCCTAATAAGCTCAACACAAAGTCATTTACTAATAAGCTCAATACAGTTACTGAATAGAATAAAAATACAGTTCAAATTACAAATTAAGCAAAAGTGTTGCTTGAAATTCAGCATATAGGTTCCCCAGTTGACATCTTTGAATGTATGCCCACTTATAGGATTAATGCACGCCCACATTCAATGTGGCCAACAACATACACCAAATATAACTTAAACTGAAGCTAGTGCCTACTACAGAAACATAAAAATGACAAACGCGTCTTATGTAGATCATTTTCCCTCGCGCATAATTATGTTTAAGGATATCTCCACGTCCTTTTTCTTAAGTTATTTGAGCAAATATCTCGAACATGGACGACAAATCTTCTCCTTGCAATTGCATCGGTTTTGCCCTCGATGACGAAGATCATTCCAATCAAAAAACTGGCAATCTCTTTTGCAACTTAAGAATACTCGTCCTATGTTTTTAGTATTCTTCTCGACCTCCATACATTTCACGAACCCCAACCCACAATCTAGACATCGTTGCTTCGATG